GTTTTTAGGAGAAATGAAGTCAAATTTATGGGCTTATGGAATTTAGGAAGTTCTTTAGGCTTATCTGCTCCTTTAGGTATTTATTTGACAATTGCTTTCTTCCAGCTAGTGGGAATGATTCCCATCGCCATCCCAACTCTTAAGATATTGATTAGGTGGGGCATAAGGTACGTGATGACATTGTGGATTTTAGCGCTACTGCTTAAGTTTTGAATTTCTGAGCAGAAACAACTCCATGATTCTCTTTTTGCCTTTTTAATTTCTTTATTGTAGGCGGAGAGGGCATTTTTATAATTGTTCCATTCACCGTTGGTTTTAGTCTTGTTGTCTAATTTTTCATTCCACCACGGTGCACTTCTGTTCCCGGTCTTTTTGTTCAACAGACAGGCCCCATGGTAGGCATTTATAATAGTTGTGCCTAAGGCAACATCAGCAATTTCTAAGTCATGAATGTTGTTTATCGTATTTTTGTTATTGCTTAGGTTGGCCTTGAGTTCGTTTGTATATATCTGACGATGATCAGACATGGATATTTCTGCTGAAACATTCCAGTTTTTGATTAAGTGTTTCATAAATTGTGTCGCTAGGGTGATGTCTAATACCTCTTCCCTGATTCTATTTATAAAAATGGGCATATTGCCTATATTCAAAATACTTAGATTGTTACCTGTAGTAAATTCAAATAGGCACTCACTTCTTTTGTTGATATTGGTGCTGCCTCAAATCGTGTGGTGGGCATTAGCGTTACTTCCAACGATGAGTTGCTTTTTGTTTTTTAGACTTTAGTTCACTAGTTCTTTCAGTGATAAGAAATCTAGCTCTTGGGAGTCTCCAGGTAGGTAAGATGAGCAACCTTGAGCATTGTCTTACTTACTGAGGTGTCCACAGAAATAATAAGCCCTATCGTATGTCCTGTACTTTATTTGGGCGTCAAACGTTCGGAATGAAACCCAAGTGATTGCCAACTGCTGCTGTAGAATGGCATCTGTTGCTATGTTTCATGCGTCAAGTGTACCGCCAGTGGTGCTTCAAATTTCGGGAAAACCAACACTGTTGCTTCAGCTAATTGTTCCTAGCATTTTTCAAAAGCCTTTCACGATTCATCTGACCAGGCATGTCGTGTCTTTCTTTTTACTGTCATTTAGCGTATTTGAAAATACAGCCTGTTGCTCGGCGCCATCAGATATAAATCTTCGGAAAAAATTCACCATACCCAAGAAGCGTTTGACGCGTTCATGTGGTGATTTAACATCGTCTTTGCTAATCACGAAATCCAGAAATTTGGTTTTCCGAATACAAATTCCGGTGGCTGTATGATTATACCGTGCTCTTGTAGTTTAGCGAAAACTTTTCTTAGGTGGTTTCTCGAAGATTTCAATGAAATCAACCACTCTCAAAATCTAATCCATGAAGCGCTGAAAAGTTTAACTCGCATTTCTGAGACCAAAAGTCATGAAGACAAATTTGAATATGTCAAATGGAGTAGTTATGGCAGTCTTTGGTATATCAGACTTTTCAACTGAAATTTGATGGTATGCTCTGTTATAGAGAATATCTCGCATCCCCTGAGTGGATAAGTGAAGTCATGTATATCTGGTATAGGATATCGATGTGGTTGTGTGACACTATAGAGCTTACGGTAATTACCGTACGGACGCCACTCGCCATTCTTCTTCTTAACCATATGTAACGGGCTTGCGCGTTGACTTCGAGATGGTCGACAGATACCAGCATCTAATAAGATTTCTGCTTTCACTGCATCGTACCTATCTGGAGCTAGACAGCGTGGCTTAGCATAAACCGGAGACTTTTAATTACAATGTGATGAGTAATACCTGGCACCATTTTAGTTGACGCAATTGCAGGACAAACTACACAACTGCATAGTTCTGCACCTACTATGGGTTGAAATACATTAGCACTATAAACGTTTACGTAAATGATCTTCTTAAGCCTAGATCCAATGTGACAGCTTTGTTGTCTTATGTTTGTATAGATGATTTGATGCTTACAAAAATACATCTTTATTTGCATACTTTTGTTGATTATGGCTAGGAAGTAAAACACTGACGTCGGCACCTGTATCTACTAACAACTTCATTTTTTTTCGATTGTCTTCGAAATCTGTCAGAGGTTGCGACATCTTAGATTAAATCTTAGTTTAAGTATCAGTTTAAATTAAAATTGCATAGCTCGCGACATTTCTTAGCTTTCTCACGGAATTTGTGGTGAAACCGGCAAATGTCGTTATTTTTGTTGCTATGCGGTCGAGACCGCGAGCAGCTGCGAAAACGTGTTCTGTAAGCACTACGTAACCTCTGTACTTCCACTCGTAATGCAGCAACTTCCTTGCTAAGCGCGCTAATCTGTTGCTTGAGGTCAAGCTCGGTTGTGTCGCGTTTATCTGGCATGCCTCTGTTAATATCATTTATTGAACAGGACTCATTTACTTCCGTCACTTTGTCGGCTAGAGGTGTGATTTTGTCTAATGGCTCTGAACTTATGGAGATTATCGACCGTATTTGCTGGGAAAGTCTTGTTAACCATTTGGATTTTAACATTTGTTTGCCGGCTAAACTATGCACTTCACGCTACGGCAGGTGGGTCCAAATAATGTCGTTAACTTATGACAAAATGTTGCTGTCCAATGTTGTCACAATTATGTGGAATTTCGTAATTTCACATGTAATTGCAGCATTCACAAATCGTGATTCAATTTGCGCAAACCATAACTCCGAGCCAGAAGGGTGGGACCATAACTGTAACTCCCACCAGTTCTTGAGGTGCTGCTGTCGCTATGTTCACTATATTAATGCATTCGTAATATTAGAAGCTGTGTGTTTTGTTAGTTGCGGCTGTTCAGTTGTCTTATTTTTCATAATACGTGTTTAAGCGGGGTACGTTAAACGCTTGTGTCTATGTTTTTATACTTAAAAGATTTATTATCACAATCACCAAGTTACACTAAATTAATACTCGCTGCTGGCATTAATGTTCATGCGTCGTTTGTCACTTTTCTATACATACTACATCTTTCTGCTGACATTAACATTTATCGACAGAGATGTTGTATGGCCGCCACAAGGGCATCATTGCCCTTAATTATTGACGAGTGGTCAGATAACAAGTTGAAATTAGACTTATAGGTAGTTGCCTTGGCACATACCTCTCTCGATAATGCAAAATCAATTAAGTCAGGTATTTTTCTTTTATCCGTTGACCAGTATGTGGACTTACTTGTTGAGATCTTGGACAGATTGAGTAAATGAATTGCTTTGAAAAGTTGTTGTTCTTTTGGATTTGAAATACAATTAAAATTTTAAAATTATAAAAAATTGTTTAGAATTACATTAATATAAACTTGCGATATTAAGTACACTTTCACAGCGGTAGACTTGGGAATATAATGAAGACAAAGTAATAGATTTAAAACTATTTTTATTTCTTAAAAATAATAAAATAAATTTAATAATTATTTGCAATTATAGGAATATTTCGAGTTAAAAGATTTGGTCCACATTTAGCAAAAACTAAATTAATAATACCACGTATTACTTCCTTGCCCTTGACCTCGAAACCATATTCATAATATTTCTTCGCACAGTGTGCCAAAACAGAAATTAGACGATTTTAATTCGGTACTTTTTGAACCAGTAGAAATATTAGGAAATGGTGATTACCACTAAAGGAAAATTTAATGAAACCATTTCCCGAACACGTTTTAAATAAAACACAAAATGATAACTAGATAATTTACAAATATTTGAGAAACAAATAAAGAATTTGAAGCCTGAAAAATAACTTTTTTCTATTTTAATAAATTAATATTATTAATACCTGATTCTCATCTTCAATTTGAGTAGCTATAAGTATATCTGTACATTGTTTTTTACTCTCGGTTGCTTTTACATACTAAATTTTGATAATGTGGATATCACCATTTAACCAAGCCCTCTAACTGCTCCGTTATATTGTTGGTCGTGCAACTTGTTTTAAGATTCTATTCAATTTCAATTTTTTCTATTTTGAAGAATCGGATTTAATTTTTATAAATACGTTTTTTCTCGTCCGTCTGTATATGAAATATTTGAATATCATAATAATAATATTAATAATAATAATTAATAACTTTAATTTTAAGGAATCGAACTCGTGCCCTGCCAAATTTCCGTAATGCGGAGAAATCCATGCTAATGTTTCTAAACGATTCGCGTTAGCGAAACAGGAAATTGAATATATTTTTTATTCATATTATTTCCTTTATAATTCTATATTAAATTTAATTTTAATGTCAATATGACAGAAGTGATTATTTTTACTTTTACAGAAACTGTGGTATTTAATAGAGAAGTTTCGAAAACCGACTATGCAGCTGTTTCGAGTATTGCTAAGTGTTAAGTATTACATTTATTTTGTCTTTTGCTGACCCATGATAAAATGCATTTAACGTAATCGTAATATATTAATAGGTTATATTTTTGCTGATTAGTGTTTATTTTATAACTAGGGCAAGAACACATTTTAAATAATTTATTATTCATTGTTTGCTAAATATGTTATGTAATTTGCTTGCTATTAATTATTTATTGTTTTGCTGAATATTTTATGTGTCATTATAAGTAATATTTTTTGCTTGATATTAATTATTGTTTTAAATTGGGTCAGTAAATTATTGTACGTAATAAGTTTTAGTAAGTAATTATTATAAGAAAAATGTATATAAATAAATCAATTCTTTTAATAAAGTGTATTCGATGATACAAATTTGAATAGAACTTATCTTCTTTTCATAAAATTACCAACGGGTTTATGTGCTCGGTGGTATCTTCAAGAATATAAAAAGTATACAAATATACCGTCCAACAAGTTACATGTGCTTGGTGGAATTCCGGTATACAAATACAAATTGATAGAACCTTGAGAATAAAAGCATTCTCAACATATTTTGGTGACCCCGACGTGATATTCCTATAAGGACAATAAATAGGAACGGCATTATCATGGAGCATTTCAACACACTTATTGATCAACAACAAGCTATAGGAGCTGAGATCGAGAGGATAATCAGCAACTTCAAGAAGGATCCAGCCTCAAGGAAGACGAATCGCTATTATCAGGATAGAATTCTACGGTTAACTGAACAATGGTCAAGGTTAGAGAAGAACCACAACACGTTATTATCTTGTAAAGCTATGGCTGAAGATACAGAAGACGAGTATTTCACCACGGGCTACTATGAAAAAATGACTGAATTGACAAACAAATACTTGGGTATTTTTAACAAGGCATTAATCGAAATGCAAGAGGTAGAAAATGCTCAGGAAAAGCCGCCAAGGCAACACAATCAAAATCCAATGCAGCTTCAACAAAATGAAGAAATATCAAGAGTGTTGCGTAATCAACGAGCACTCATAAATGTCATTGACAGATCCAGTCAAGAAATTGAAATGGCAAGCCAAGAATCTCAAAATGAAGTTTTTTATTCTTGCAAGCTTGCTTTGATAGAAGGTTATCACAAAGCATTCGATAACAACAATGAAAAAATATGGAATTCTACATCAGAAGAATTCATTGAAGGGTACTCCTGGGAATTGTATTATGAAATTAGTCAAAAACTCCAAGACATGGAGATTTGTTTGAAACTCAAGCTAAAATCATTCAATTCTCACTACCAGCACGATTCAACAATTCAGGCAGTAAAATTACCACAGTTAACAATTCCAATATTTGACGGAAACCAGCTGAAGTGGGTAGAGTTTCGAGACCTGTTTACACAACTTATAGACGAACAACCATTCAAACCTATCCAAAAGATGTTCTACTTAACAACTAACTTGATTGGTGAGCCCAAAAACCTGATAAAGCATTTGCCAGCATCAGCTGAGAACTACATTACCGCATGGGAGATTCTGAAGGCTAGATACAATAATGGTAGATTATTAGTTACCGCATTGTTAAACAAATTATTCGCATTACCAGCAATGACAACTGAAACTGCTTCTGGCCTTAAAACATTGCATGACATTTCACAAGAGTGTTTATTGGGACTTAAGGCGCAGAACATTCCAGTCGAACATTGGGACGTCATAATTGTTCATATGACGTTGAAGAAATTAGACAAGATCACACAAACAGCTTTTGAGCAGTCATTATCAAACAATCGAGAGCTGATCACTATGAAGGAACTATTTCAATTTATTGAACAAAGGTTCCAATCGCTAGAAACAATAAATAATAGCGCATCAATTAAAAAATGGGTTAAGACAGTGGCTACAACTAACACTGCACCAGCTAAATGTCCAATATGCAAGAGAGATAATCATCCAATTCATCTATGCAAGCAGTTCCTGGATGACACCCCAGCTAAGAGGCTACATCTCATAAAATCATTGCAACGATGTTTTAATTGTCTAAAAAATGGTCACTTCACAAAAGACTGCACATCAGGCAGTTGCTTAAAATGCAGCAAGAAACACAACACCTTGCTGCATTTAGAAGGCACACTTGAAGCATCCATGATTAAGAAGGCATCATTATCAAAAAATCCTGCTTCTCTGTTCTCCAACAATCTCAACATCCAAAAAAATTATGTGGTATTAGGAACTGCACGTGTTGTCGTTAAAGGCAACAATGGAAGAGAAATTGAGTGCAGAGCATTATTGGATTCCGGCTCCCAAGTCAACCTGATAACCGATCAAATAATTAAGAAGTTAGGTGAAAACCCGAAAAAGACCTCAGCATGTATAGAAGGTGTGGGGCAAAAAAAACAAGATGCGCAACAACGAATCAATTTAGCTTTCTGGTCCAGAATTAACGGATTTAGCAGCCGAATAGAGGCTTATGTATTACCTAAGATTGTGTGTGACCAGCCGAGCATTCATATTGAAAGCTCAAGCTGGAAAATACCACAGAACATCAATCTGGCAGATCCGTCGTTCAATACCCCAAACAAAATCGATCTCCTACTTGGAGCTGAGTTTTCTCATCAACTATTGTCCATCGGCCAAATAAACCTTGGCAGAGGTCTCCCCATCCTACAGAACACATTGCTTGGGTGGCTTGTGGTGGGAAAATTATCTAACCAAAATTCAATTATTTCACCACAAGTTTGTGGAATATGCTCTGAAGATGAGCAAGATACGATGAAGGTTATCGAGCGGTTCTGGCAACTGGATGAACCAGAAAAGGCAAACAAAAATCTGTCTCCTTCCGAAGAGTTGTGCGAGTCTCATTTTGCAACTTATATGAAAAGGAATCAAGACGGTCGATTCAGTGTCAGATTACCCTTCAAGCAAGATCCATCGTTGCTTGGTGAGTCAAAACACATTGCCATTAACAGGTTTTTAGCGTTGGAAAGAAGACTCGATAAGGATGTAATACTCAAAACACAGTATGTACAGTTCATGAATGAATATGCTGATCTCGGACACATGGAAAGGGTTGACATCAACCAAGTTAATCCTCATTATGTCATCCTACATCATGGCGTTTTACGGCCCGATAGCAGCACCACGAAATTAAGAGTGGTATTTGATGCATCGTGCAAGACGAGTAGTGGACTATCGTTAAATGATACAATGTTTACTGGCCCTACAATTCAAGAGGAATTGTTTGCGATTTTACTTCGATTCAGGTGCCCAAGATTTGTCTTTTGTTCTGACATTCAAAAAATGTACAGACAAATTATTATTCAGCCCGAAGATCAAAGATATCAATTAATAGTCTGGAGAAGCAATATTAACGAACCCTTACAATTTTATCGATTAAAAACAGTCACCTATGGAACACGATCAGCCCCATATCTGGCTACTAAATGCTTACAACAGTTGGCGAAATCTGAGTTGCAAAAATATCCACTAGGTGCAGCAGCACTAAGTAATGACTTCTACGTAGATGATTGCCTAAGTGGATCAAATAGTCTCCAAACTGCCAAAGATATACAAACTCAGTTAAAAGGTTTGTTGGAATCAGCAGGATTCAAGCTAAGTAAATGGTGTGCCAACCATCCGTCACTTCTTCAAAATATTGCAAAAGAAGATCAAGAAGTTGATTTGGACTTTCAAAGTGACGACGCAACATCAATCAAAACATTAGGATTGACTTGGCAACCAAAAGAAGATCAATTTCGCATAAAATTAAAACTGGATCCACTAAAAATCATTACTAAAAGAACCATTACTTCGAACCTAGCCAAAATTTTCGACCCATTGGGACTACTAGGTCCAGTACTCGTAACAGCAAAAATACTAATTCAGGACCTATGGCAACTACAATTAACATGGGACGAAGCAGTACCAACCGAAATATACACTAGGTGGACTACCTTTTATGACGATCTACAAGTACTAGATCAATTTAAAATAGATCGTCATATATTCGGAAAACAGATGCCAGCACTTGAATCAATACAATTGCACGTATTTTGTGATGCTTCACAAAAGGCATACGGAGCCGCAGTCTATGTTCGAGCAAAACTAATGGATGGTCGACTAATAAATCGATTGTTGTGTTCCAAGTCTCGTGTTGCTCCACTCAAAAAACAAACGATTCCAAGGTTAGAACTGTGTTCAGCTCTATTAGGAGCGACATTGATGAAAAAGGTTAAGAACAATATAAATCATGATGTAGCAACATATTATTGGACTGATTCAGAAATCGTTCTATTCTGGATCAATTCTTCATCAGCAAGGCATCAACAATTCATAGCAAATAGAATCAATGCAATTCAGGAAATTAGCTTGCCTAATCAATGGCGTCACGTAAGATCTAAGGACAACCCAGCTGACTCATTATCACGGGGTATCAAGCCAGCTCAATTACTCGAAAATAACTTGTGGTTATACGGTCCACTCTTTCTTCATGGTTCCGAAAGCAACTGGCCTGGCAAATTCAATAAAACTCTCTGTATTGATCCGGTGAATCCTGAATGGAAACAAACGACAAGGGAAGTGGCCTTAATCTCAACTGATTACGATATCCATTGGATCGATAGAATCAATCACAGGAATTCATTTAGAACTCTACTACATACGGTAGGATATATGCTGCGATTTGTAAATCGGGCAAGGCGAACCAATTTAAGCAATATCACTATGGCTCTAAGCCCTATGGAACTGGAGCTGTCACTCAGGCATATAGTGAAGTACATACAACAGTCAGAACTAAAAGAAGAATTAATTCAGTTAGAACGCAACCAAACAGTAAAACCTGCAAGTACACTTGCTGGACTGATGCCATTTTTAGATGAACACAAGATAATTCGCGTGGGGGGAAGGTTAGAAGCATCATCACTTACATATGATGAAAAGCATCAGATAGTCCTTCCATACAATAACCCTATTGTAAAACTGATAATGAAAGACATACATGAACGAAATATACACTGCGGCGGTCAAGCACTGCTGGCAGCAGCGAGACAAAAATTTTGGCCGATCAAGGGTAAAATTATGGCAAGATCAACTATTCACCATTGTGTTCGTTGTACTAGATGTAAACCAGTTACTTTTGAACAAGTCATGGGAAGTTTACCAAGGCATCGAGTACAGCCAAACAGGCCATTTTTTAATACCGGAGTTGACTTCTGTGGGCCTTTTTGGGTGCATTATAAGGTGAGAGGAAAACGTCCGCATAAGGCATACCTAGCAGTTTATTGTTGTTTTGCGACAAAGGCAGTACACTTGGAACTGGTAAGCGACTTGACAACAGAAGCATTTATCGGATCATTAAAACGTTTTATCGCACGACGCGGATGCTGCCAAAATATATACTGTGACAATGCAACGAATTTTGTCGGTGCCTCTAACAAGTTGCAGGAATTAACAACAACAATCCATTCCAATGTAGCTCAGGAACAAATAACAAAAACTTGCAGCAACAAGGGAATAGCATTTCACTTCATCCCTCCTCGTGCACCTCATTTTGATGGACTATGGGAAGCAGCGGTTAAATCAGCAAAGTACCTATTGGTCCGAAGCGTTTCAACTGAAACGTTAACGTACGAGGAACTCGAAACCGTCATTATAGAAATAGAAGCTATTTTAAACTCACGACCTTTAACACCAATGTCGTCTAATCCAAATGATTTGCAGGCTCTCACACCAGGTCATTTCTTAGTTGGTGATGCACTAACAGCACCCGTAGACGCAACATGTGAAAAGGTAAAATCATCTCTTTTGAATAGATGGAATCTGGTTGCACACTTAAAACAAGAGTTTTGGAAAAGATGGCGGGCAGAGTACCTAATGGAACTACAGGTTCGAAACAAGTGGCGTGAAGAATGCAAAAACATTGAAGAAAATACACTGGTGATCCTTAAAGAAGATAATGTACAACCTTTGCAATGGCCTTTAGGGCGAATAATGAAGACATATAAGGGTAATGATGGATTTATACGAGTCGTAGATGTCAAAACCGCAACAGGCATGTTAAAGCGACCAATTCACAAACTAGCCCCCTTATTTCCTGAAAACAAACCTATTAAAACACAGGAGAATCGCCATAACAAAGAAGAACGAATGGACAATGAGATAGTCCCACGAAAACAAAGACGTGTGTCCTCCAATATAAAATTAACTACAGTACTGATATCTCTACTTTTACTCCCGATTGTTCTTTGTTCACCAGTAAACGTAACTGAACTTCGCTCCGCTCCTGGCCTACATTTTGAACAAGTAGGAACAACAAAATTGATAACATCCCACTGGAAAATGATAATCTATTACGATTTAGCTCCATTTAATACAGAGCTGGACATACTAAAGGATTCAACGTTGAATCTTTTGAAGCTA